ACAAAGGAAGTAGTCAGGAAGTGTTACAGGAAATCAGGACGCTAACATGGTTAGTTACCCATGAAGGCGTCCTTTAAGAAAGAAACTTCGGGTCCTCAGGCTGCTGGAGCCGACACGCCTGCCCTTCAGGTTTGTGTTGACCTTGGGTCTGTGAGAGCAGGTGAAACTGCGCTCAGACCAATCCAGGTGTGTCACCTCTGGAGGAGGGGCGGCTGTTCAGACAGTCAAAACTCCAGTTCACTGAACCTCTAACCAGAGAATCGGCTGATGGAGTGAAAGTCCACAGAAACGCAGTTCGTCCTGCGTCCACTCGCACTTCACCTGCTCCATGAAACTCCAGGAGAACGATCCAAGCGCTCCATCACGTGACCGATCAGATTATTGATCCAAGATGATCAGCTCCGCTCACAGTTCTAACAAATATTCATCATCTCAGAGATGATCCGAAGCAACGCCTCACAGCAGGACCCCAAACAGGGTGAGGCTGCCCGGGTCAGTGCCCGACTCACTTTTAAAGGGATCAAAGCTCCCACGCCTGCTCCCAATAAAGCCACACACACACACACACATGCGCACACACACAGTGAAAACAAGTAATTTCCTGATAGCTCTCATATCCAGCTGTGAGTGTGTCTGATTAAAGAACACATTAGGCCATCTGTGTGTGAGAGAGCTTTCCCTCTCGTTTAACTGCCTCTCTTTCTTCAGATTTTCTGCATTCTCGCTGCCGTGTGTGTGTGTGTTGTGTGATGACGCTGTGCAGTTGTGGCAGTGTGTGGTTGGTCACCGGGCAGATGGTGGCCTGCAGATGAACCGTCGTCTCAGCCTGTAATTTCCCTCTGTTTCCGCCACATTAGTGCCGAAGCTTCACAGTGCAGCGCTGCACTTTCACCACCAGAGGGCGCCACAGACCAGCTGTTGGGACAAGCCGGCCATTTCTGCACATGCTCTGTGGACTGGCACACTTCGGTGTGGTGATGTCCTTTCTCCGTGGTATCTTTAAAAAGAGCTCCATCAGGATCTCTGAGTATGAGAAACAGAAGACAAACATTCATGTTAATTAATTCATCAGAAATTTGTGAACCCTAACATCTGTCAGACATTTGCTTCTCCTCCCTGTAAATAAGAGTCTTCAAACAGAAAAGCGCCATATAAATGCAATCCATTATTATTATTATATGGCCTGCAAAGCCGAAGCGGCACACTGGAAGGTCCCGGCCCGCCGGGCAGCTCTGTAGAGCGTGCACCAGAGCTGAACGTTTAACCTGAGACACGCTGGAGAGCCGAGGTTAAATCTGAAGAGTTTTATGACTGAACGGAGGAAAACACTGCTGTTCATGCTTTGTAGGTGAAGGTGTCTATGATCACCTGGTGCTGGTGTGCTGAACAGGTGCTTCCTCCAACTTGATGAAGACAAACATCTGTTTTTGAGGCCCTGACAGATTTGTGTCTAAGGTGATGGAAACATCATCTTCTATCAGGAACGTTGGGGTGAGCTCGCCTGCAGTGAGCTGGAGTGATGTTTGCTCAGTGATGTCTGGGTTACTGCAGACGTGCAGGTTGTTGAGCGTGCCGCTGCGAGGCTTCCTGTTACCTCCAGAGTTCACGTTAAGATTCTGGCTTTGACTTTGAAGCATGGACGATTATCGGCCTACAGCTGTGAACCTCTGCCTCCACTCAACAGGTGCCCGAGGTCATGTGACCCAGGTCTCAGTCTGTTTCCTGTTTGAAGGTTTCAGAGTGACATGCTGATGTGGCGTCTTTACCTTACAATAAAGCTTCTTCCTGATGTGAGCTGGTGCTGTGACACTGAACTGTTTTCACCGCTGTGCAGAAACAGGACCACCGTCAGACTCTGCAGATGCGAGCGGTCAGTAAGACCAGAAAACAGATCAGTCTGCACCGCGTTCATACTTTTTAAGACTGACTGTGTTTAGGAAGTTAGACTGACCTCTGTGGGGTATGTATGTATC